TGGCTTTACATCTGGCCAAGATATTTGCTTGTCAACCCCACTTCCCACAGGGCTCTTTCCTCATCTCTTGAAACTTTAAGACAAAGTCAGGGCCATCGGGAAGGAAGAGAAGTGACTGGACAGTGGCAGAGGAGAAAAGGTGGTCTCACCATTGTCAATCATAAAATGAAGCCCTCGGGTACCTGTGCCTAGGCTGTGAAGCTTAAAGGGGGTAGACAATGAACAGGGCAAATCTTTTGAAAGGGCCCAGGCTTCTTGATCCCTTGATCCTATGAAAGTCCCATTCTGGGGAAGAGGTAGGTGCACTGAGGGATTCTAAGTTGACACTGACTTTGAGAACATGTTAGATGTAGCACTTTCTCTCTGGCTAGATGTGGAGAACCTGGATCTTATGCCTCTCTGGACTTTGACTCTCCCTCACTATTCTCCCCCAAAATGGGCTCCCCTGCACTCACATTCTCCATTTCCACCACCTTCCTTCCTTCCTTCTCCCTGTATATTCATCTGCTGTCTGTACCCCCAGCAATGCTTTAGCACAGCAGCCCACCTGTGAGAAACTAGGAGACATAGTATTTTCTTACACCCTCTTGGCTTCTGGACCCCAAAGCACTGTAGGGCAAGCCAAAATATGCTTATGCTTCTCCCTTGTCAGTTCAATTTTCCCATGGGCCTCTCTGGCTGCCCTCTTCAGGATTACCGCCTCTCACACATCGTCTGCCTATCTACCAACATACACAAGCAGGCACACACAGTACCACAACTACACTCCTAGAGGAGGAGAGAGAAAAAGCAGGTATCAGGCACAGGGGATTTTTAGTGGGGCTGAGCCAGGAGTTTCAAGTAAGGCTAGGTACTTGAGAGGAACAAATGGAAGGAGGTGTAGAATATGAGGTATGCCACAGAGAAGCCAAGGCAAAGAAAGGTCCTGCCTTGTTCTAGACTGTGCCCTGTACGAATACAGTCTTCTGGAACACCCCTTGGAAGTTAACATGAAACCAGCCCCCTCAGCCATTGTGGGCTTTGGCTTGCCCAGCCCAGTACATTTCCATGCCCAATCCTCCCTCCCCTAAAATGTCTCACGAATGACAAGGGACAGGCCAGAAGGAGGCCATGTGCTATCCAAGGGGTTTCATGTATATGAAGAGTGCCCCTGAGCTTTAGGAAGCATGGACACCCACAAGAACATATACAGATCCTGTATTCACTTTTTCTCCTTTTGCTACTGGCTTCTTACCTGAAGCTGGGGGTAGGTACTTCGGAGGCTGTTGCTATGATGGAAATGGTCAGTGGCTGGCCACTCATGACATCGTGGGAAGGTGTAGGGGCATCCCTGCATGACCATAGGTTGCATCAGAACCAAGGCTCATGAGGGGGGGTGGTGAGGATGGGCAGTGCACCCACCGTTGATCATAAGCACCTGGAAGAAAAACAAGGGAAGATTTAGTTAAGACCTAGAAAAGCCCTCTCAATCAATCAATCCAGCTCTTACCTAGAGGTGCTTCCATCAGTTGTATTAATGAGTTTTCAAAGCTTACTGACCTACCCAATAGTTTTTTTCCAGGTAACCATGTACCATAAAATACTTTGTCTAATTATTGATCAAGGAAGTATTTATTGTTTATCCATTATATTTTGTGCTAGAAATACAAAGATGATTTGCTGTCTGACATCTCACAGCCTAGGGATGGGGGTAGGGTAGGAGGCAGCCATGTAAGTTGATAATTATAATAAACTGCTTATGTGGCAAGTGCTATAATTAAAATTTGACCAGAAGGCTAGGAGGGAACACAGTGGAAAACAATTAATTCTATCTAAGAACATGCAAAGATATCAGAAAGACTGTGTTTGAGGTGAATCTTTTCTTAAAATATATTTTTAGCCCTAGCCAGTGTGGCCCAGTGGATAGAGTGTCGGCCTGGGGACCAAAGGGTCCCGGGGTCAATTCTGGTCAAAGGCACGTACCTCATTGCAGGCTCCTCCCAGCCCAGGCCCTGGTCAAAAAAAAGTTTCCATCCATCAGCATTTGTCCCCCTTTCCCCTCTCCTACCTCCTCCACCCCCATTTTCTTCTGGTAATTACCATACTGTTATCTGTGTCTATGAGTTTTCTTTTCTTAATCCCTTCACCTTTTTCGCCCAGCTCCCCAACCCCCCTCCCCTCTAACAGCTGTCGTTCTTTCTTCTTTGAGTCTGTTTCTATGTTGTTTGTTTATTTATTTGGTTCATTAGATTCCCCCAAATAAGTTAAATATGGTGCTTGCCTTTCTCTGACTGGCTTATTTCACTTAGTATAATACTCTCCAGGTCTGTCCATGAGGTGAGTCTTGAAGGATGAGTAGATGTTTGCCTTTGCAGAGAAGGGGAGAAAGGGAGAAGGGCAGTCTCACCAGAGGGATCCATCTGTGCAAAAAACCCTTAACATATTCAAAGTATAATTATAATTATAAAGTTCAGTATGGCTAGAGTTAGGAGGCACAGAGATGAAAAAGACATGGTGCCTGCCCCATGAGGAGTTTACATACAGAAAGAACAGATGTGGGGAAAATCAGGCCATAAAGTGTAACTTGCATTAATAATAGAAGTATTAAAAAACAATCTGACCAAAATAATAATAATAATAATAATAGAAGTATTGATGGGATGGAGTGAAGGGATAGATGAGGTGAGTTCTACCTGGTCAGGTCAGGAACAGTTTTTCCTAGAGGGAATATACTTGAGGTGAGTCAAGAAATAGAAGTTGGAATTTCATTAGACAGAGAAGATAAAACAAAAAGAACATCCTAAACAGCATGAAAATAAAATGTATGATGTGATCAGAATACAAGGCAGGTGCCTTATGGGAAGTAGCTGATGAGGTTGGAAAATGAGGCTGTGGCCAGATTGGGCCGTGCCTTGAATGACAAGCAGAGGCTTCTAGGCTTTGTCTTGTAGACAACAGGGAGGCACTGAAGACTTTAAGCCAGGGAATGACATGACCAGATTTGCATTTTAGAGAGAGCCTCTGGCTGCCTTGTAAAGTGATTCTCCCAGGGAAAGAACCCATTGAGAAGCTGTTACAATAGGCAGGCAGTTGTGGTGAGGATGAAACAGAGAGCATGGCTTTGAGATATACTGAAGAGATTAAATACATTGGGCTCTGTGATCAATTGGATGTAAAGTGAAGGGTGAGGGAAGTGAAGAAGACAAAGGTTTCTAATTTGGGAGCTGGGTGGATAATGTTGATAGTAAGAGAGAGAAGGAGCAAATTTGGTATGGTGGGGGTGAGAGCAGTGTTCCATAATAAGCTATGCTTGAGACAGTCAGCTTTATATGTTAGTCAGTAAGCTTATAAAAGGAAGATACGAGTGAAAAAATTAGATGCTTAAACCAATTGACAGCTTAGTGACTATACACCAATGTAATGAGAATGGGTAGCAAAGACAATGTTTGCAAATGATAAAAGTGCTGGGCAAAGACATGCGAACCCTGATCCCAAAGGACAGGAAGTAAGCATATTTAATTCCTGATGCTGATGATTCAATAACCATAATTTTTAGTCTCTATTTCAGTGGTACCCAACACTTTAGGTATAAGAAAGAGTCCCTTCTTAAGCTTAAAAAAAATCACACTTCACCCACTCATATCTACAATAGTAGCTGTATTTTAAGTACAGAGTGAGAAAAAACACTCATCTATTTTTTTAAATGATAGCATTATTATTATTATTATTATTATTCCTCACCCAAGAATATTTTTCCATTAAATGCAGGTCTAATGATTTGTCTTTTACTTTTTCCAGGATAGAAATTCTCCCCACTTTTTTTCAAAATGGGGCAATCTATTTCTGTCAACAAAAGACACTGCCCATCCCCTTTACGAGAGGGGCCAGGGACAAAACTGCAACCGAGATATGTGCCCTTGGCCAGGAATCAAACCTGAGACCCTTCGGTCTGTGGGCTGATGCTCTAAACATCGAACAAACCAGCCAGGGCAACACTTATTCATTTAAAGATCTGATCTGTAGACTCCTTGCATTAAACACCCTTCCCTCCACTCAGGGGTCTATGGTCCAAACATTGGGAATTACTACAGATGATGGGAATTACTACAGATGATGAAGGTGCAAAAATTTATGGACACTTTCTTGTAGTTAAATTCCCTAGATATTACACAGCTACATAACTCCTCATCCCCAAATAAATTCCCCAAAGAATAGTTTAAAAGGTGGCTCCCCTATGATCCAACACCAACATAAAAGAGTTAGTACCTCAGGTAAAAATGAAGTATTGCTAAGAATGCGCTATAAGAATGAAACTAAAAAGGCTTGTTTTCAGACCTCTTTTTATATTAACATTTTCATTTTTGCCAATTACACAAGTAGTGCATGTTTTTCATAGAAAAACTGGAAAACACAAAAATTATAAGGATGCAAATAAAACTAATCTATAATAAATACTACCATCCAGAAATTACCATTACTAGCAGGTTTGAAGGTTTGAAGCCCTACATAGTTTTACTATGAAAAATATATACATATACTTTAAAAATAAAATTGTCATCATAGGAGATTATATATATATATAATTTTGTATTGTGCCTTTTTTCATTTGCCATTTATATCACAATCACTTTAGAATGTCACTAACTATTCCTCTAAAACATGATTTCTTAGAAGTCCAATGCGCTATCCATTGCGCCACAGAGCCTAAAACATGATTTCTTAATGGCAGCAAACGTGATAGAGTGGTGTTGTTGAGGCCATGGGCTTTGGCATCAGACAAACCTAGAGTCAAATTCATACTATTCAAGCAAATAGCAGTGTGGTCTGGGACAAGTTCATCTCTCTGTACTTCAATGTCATCTGAGAAACTGGGATGACAACAATACTTCCGTCATAGAATTATTCTAATGATTAAAATTGTTCTAATGACTAAAACTTAGGATAGTGTCTGGAAATAGTACACTGCTCAATAAATGTCAGCTGTAATCATTATTGTATACCATTTCATTGAATGGATATATCATTATAGTTAGACATAAGTCACAGTGCAATGAACAGCCATGTGAATACTTATAATTCTTTCCTTGGGATAATTTCCTAGAAGGGAGAATTCCTGGATCAAAGGGTATGAACCAATTTTAGCTGTGATTCATAGTTCTAAATTGCTCTAGAAAAAAGTTAGATCACTTTATACTACCACTGGCAATGTATGAGAGTGCCAGTTTTCCAGCACACTTGCCAACAGTGACATGATCTTATTTTAAAAATATCTTTGCCAAATTTGTAAGTGATGAGGGCATCTTGAAGATTGCTTTGTATGTCCTTAATTATTAGAGATGTTTAACTCTCCCACTACATTTTTTTTTGTGGCCAGGTGTATTTCTTATGTCACAAACTATCTCTTTTTCTTCTTTGAGATTCACTTACAGATTAACTCCCTGAATTATAATTGATTGTTCACAAACAAAAATAAACCAAACCCAGGAGTTAGAGAACTTGGAGCTTCCAATCTGAATGCAGGCAGCAATATACTTCTCCTGGTTCTAGCATGACTAGCCTCGGGTATTTTCAGATTTTGCCACCAACTGTGACTTCAAGTCATTTCACCTCTCCAGATCTTGGTTTGCTAATTTATAAAATGTTAATGTTTCAGAGTTGCCACACATTAAAACATTAGCATTCCCTGTATTTGTATAGCATGCTTTGCATGCTGCTGTACTGTCTTTCTTGATCCTCAGTGCAACCTGGTAAGGTTGGCCCAACCAGAATTATGATCCCATCTGACAGTTGAAGATGCTGAGACACAAGTGAACCTGGGCCTCCTGACTCCTGTCCAGTACTCTTTTTTCTACACAAAGAATACTCTTTCTGACCCTCTATTTATCTCCATCCTGTCCCTAATTACCACTTGTACATACTGATTCTCTTCCTATTCCTTTGTCCAATTTGCAGAGGCTATAAGAAAACAGAGATGAATCCAACTTGGTCCCCAGCTGGTCAAGTTTAGGAAATAAGACATATAAACAAAAAAATGTATAACTTAAGAGAGAAAATGATTTGTACCTTAAGTGGGACAAGAAAGCATGCAATGAGAGGACACAGAGGAAGAAGTGTTCACCTTAAGGTGTAGGGATTTAGGATGTATCTACGGAAGAGGTGCTTTTGATGTAAGGTGAGAAAGAATATTTGGATGCACAGAGTACTGGAGGATGCTTTTGGGGTGGAACTAACTCTTCTGTGCTCTCCTCTAAGGGTCCTGATGGATATCAAGCTGTAGCTTTTCTTCCACTAGGAATACTCTTCCTGGTTCTCACAGGTACACATAGGAGGCCCTTACAGGAGGATTGTGGGGAGACATTGTTCCTCTTGGGCAGAGATAAAAGTGTTAAAAACACATGGGAAATACCAGAATTTTAGCATGAAAGCAAGATTGT